TTTTCACAAAACAGTTGTACTTGGATACTATCCTGGAGATGACAATGTTAGCACAAACACTTGTCATACTGGGCCATGTCTTGCGGAAGGTAGCCCCTATGAGTGTAGGCATGCTACCCCGCAAGCCATGGCCGGTGCCTGGCGATAATCTTTTAGGAGCGAGAGCTCTGTGATCCCGTCAGAGATAGCTCCAACAGCTATGCTGGCCTTCACGCTCCCAGCACCCACAGCTGGCTTGATCTCCAGCCAAAGCAGCAAGAAAGGATCGTCCTTTCTACATAGTTAAGAAAATAGTAACAAAGATTTTGAGACCGATCTGGATTAGCTTGTAGCCCCTATGATACCGCAAGCATTGATACCTATCCTGTTGAGGCCGGCAAGAAGCAGTAGGAGTAGCTAGATAGTACTGTTCCCAGCTGCCACTGCACGATTGAATAACGAAGGCCCCCAGTCCTGAGGAGAGCTGGCCCAAAGGGTCAAGCAGAGAGCTCTGCTGGCCCTCCTGTCCTGACTGACAGGACCAAGTACTTGGTTTGGTGCCACTGGAGGTGTTGGATATACTCTGAGGCACGACAAGGCTCCCTCGAACTGCCTGACTACCGCATGTCTCCTGAGGAAGGGTCTTCAGCGAGACCTCGTCCACTACTTGGGTATTGGAACTGATACTTCTAGAGAAACTTGTTGGATTAACAGTCACATAGATTTGCAGGCAGTCTTAAGGGAAGAGAGACCTCCTTGACGAGAAAAGGATCTCTTCGAACTACATACAGCTACAGTTGGATTCATTGGATTTCATTGGCACTTTGAGGTGATTTCAAGGCCCATTTTGAAGTCATAACTCAACACCTTCTGGTCAATTTGATAGTTCCAGCCATCACACAGTGACAGGAACCTTTGACTTGGCCATCTTCCAACCTACAAGTCCAGACATAGCCCATTGCCTTCGCAAGGACCTACGAAAGCTACTAGCATCATCTTGACGACAACATCTTCAACGACGGCAGCTAAGCTACGGTACTTCCAGAAGCTAGCTCCTGTTGACTTCACGAAAAAGAGGAAAACCAATTCGCTTGAAAGAAGTCAGTGGTACCGTCCAGGGACACCAGGAGTAACCAAGACTTATTGGTTCCGCACCTTGTCTTGGCAATCGTGCAAGGCTTTTACGTCCGAGAATTTGGCTGCTTATCACGCGAAACAGCATTTATCTCTTTTGAGACGGGCATATCGCTTTCAGCTTTCTTCAGCGAGTTCCGTGATTTATTGCACCGTTCGAGGCTTATCTCTCAGAACGTCCGTGCAGTTTCCGAGTGTCACGAGTTTCCGTCCTGTATTGTTTCAGGGATTTCACAGAAGCTCCAAGAACGCCTAACACGGAAGCCGGTTATCCAATCACAACGTCTGTGCAGTTTTGGTGATTATACGTCCGTGCACTGAGTCAGTACGTGAAATCCTTTGCGATCCTGGATTTTCGAAGTTTATTGCACGAGTTTTCCGTACCCGGTTTCGCCTTAACGTCAGTCCCCTACCGAAAGCAGGCTCACTCCGTAAGCTGGATTCGCTCACATTTTAAAGGTTTTACGTGGTCGAGTCATTGAAATGTACTCGGAATGCCTCGCGATCTTACTCGGAGCGAGCGATCAACCAACAGAAGCTTCGAACTGAGTACTCTCGAAGCCACCACGAGACAACCAAGAGCGATTCGCTTGCTGAAAGTGTACACTGTCACCGCCACCTTCAATTGGTCAGTGGGTATCAACCTTGAATTTTTGGAGCTTTTGTGGGAGATTCATTGATCCCAGTAAGCTAGCTTCCAGTGAGGCAAAATTCACAAATCCAAGCCAATCCCAGCACCACGGCAATTCAGGAACAGGTTCCAACCCTCTACACAGGCTAGTGGCTACCTTATTCAAGTACACTTAGATTGAATTTCCCAGGCCCCTAGCAAGGTCCCAAGAAGTCATCTTTGTGGTTTCCAGATTACAGTTGAGTCAAGCTTTATTGCACTGCAACAAGAGGTAAGGGGTGGTATGGCTGGTTCACGGGGACCCAGGCCCCCCGGGGGGGTCCGACCCCATAACCTGACTCAGTCACACCCCCTGAGTCACGCCGAGCCAACTTTAGGGTTGGGGGTACCCTGGGATGTAGAGTTACTACCACACCCCACAAAACCACCTATTGGCTGCGATGTCAGCGTTAGGGGTGGGGTTACCAAGCGGGGGGGTCATCATCGTGTCCCCCACACATAGGGCTAAGATCCGACCCATAGTGGGCCCCCCTACCCCCCATAACGGGCGAGAAACGGTACCGGGCGGGTACGCGCCCCCCGAAACCCGGTACGGGCCGCTACGCGCCCCCCAGGCCCCCCTACCCCTTAACCCCATGGTGCATGGAGTCCGCATAAGTGTCAGGTACACCTGGCTATCTTTCCCTAGGCTCAACTCCTTCTGGTTGCTGAGATATGACCTTTCAGGTACTTCAGAACCTGACAGTCAAGCAACTCTGAAGCTCGCTGCTGCAGCATCCCAGAGCCAGCGAACCTTGCGGTTTCGCCGTATCTCGGGAACCGTCAGGATTCACGCTTCGGGAGGGGCGCCGTTGCGACCGGCTCGGCTTCGTTGATCTAGAACTTAACCCTATACCTCCCCAAAACCCCATCCCTAAAGGCTCAAAAACCACAGGGCCAGCAGTCACTGCGAATAATGGAGCCGGGGGCAATGAACTTGACAATTAATGGCAGCAAAGTTTCCGAATCCCTCATGGGAACAGCAACAGCAAAAACTTTCATCTCTGGTGTAAGTTCCACTCCTCCAAACACCCAAACACCCTCCACTCTGTGCCCTCGATGGTACTTCCTCTTGCCAAATTTGGATTCATCAATCTCAACCACCACACCATCTCCTCCAATTTGCCCCTGCTCATCTAAAACGACGGCGCAACAGACTTGATGTAAGTAAGTGCTCCAGAGTTGAATTTTTTGTTTTCCCCAACCAGTGTAAATTGCTAGTTGTTTGTCTGTGGCGCCACAAAGCCAATGATAGCAGAAGAGCATCAAGGCTCCCTTGCTGCTATGGAAACCTTCAAAGAAGGTGCCTTTGTAGATAGATTGTTGCCACTCTCCGTCGTGTCGGCAGTTCCTGTTTCGGCATCTCACTTTGCCTTTCTTTAGGTCCGGCTTCACCGGATTTGCACACTTGGGGCAAACTGTTGGAGGTGATATCACACCTTCTGCAAGAAGGAATTTAGCTGCGCTTTCATTTGAACTAAATAGCTTGTTAACTGTATTAAAATCCGGAATACTATGCAGCTTGTTGCTGTTTTTCAAATCATCCATGTACGTATTGGTATCAACCTCCAAGGCTGCCGTGGCCGCAGCTGCTGCAACCAACGGCATGGTCGTCTTTTCTTTCACAGTGCGCAAAAGATGTGACACAGCAACAGCAGTCTTGTATGAATCGTCCCATTCTGAGTCTCAAACAGGGCCATTCTCCTATGAATTCCAAAGGAACTCAGCTGGTAGGTGCACAAGAGCTGGGATGGAGAGCTCTGTTGGTGGAGATCTCCTTCCACTGGCGCTGGAAAGGCCAGCCCAAGGCTGGCAGCCAATGCTATTCAATCACTGTGGAAGCAATGATTGAACAGTCTAATTGCTCAATACCCTGGCACTGCCATACAGGATCCTGTCTACTGCAGAGCTTACTTGTGCTGTTGGGTCTGTTTCTCAGGTCAACTACTTCTTCATTACTTCTTTAAACTATAACATAACACAAAATCATGCGACACACTCAGCATGCAGTGGCTCCATGCATCTCTTTGGCTGGTATGACCAAGCTATCTTCTAGATAGATTCATGCTGAGAACTGCAATCATGCCTTCCAGCAAGGAACCATGTCCCTACAGCTGTTCCTACTTGTCTGATGGTAGACACAGCTCATTCGTACAAAACTTACAGATCAACACGAGTCTTCCACAGACGAGCCACGCACACTGGCCGCACCCATCACCTAGCCAAATCTCATCGCTCCCCAACAAGGATCAGATGGGATCTATCAACAACTTGCAATCATGGCCTCCCTCGATACTTCCATGAACTGTAGCATCTCGACTTCTCAGTGTGAACTTGGGGTTGCCTTACCTCAGGTACCAACCCTCTTGAATACATCATAGCTGGTCCATTGCTAGTACCACTTGACACATTGGGAGGCATCACATGGGCCTGTAACAAACCCTCCAGCTTTAAGGAGAGAAGGGTGATGACAGGCATAGGACCGGTCAATTGGGCTCATCTGGTTCCCACTACATTCATCACAGTTCAGCTTAGGAGTCATTGCTATCTCCCCATAAGGTGCCATGTTAGAACAATCTTGCCATAACTGTTCGTCTGGAGCCCTCAACTGGTTAGTTAGGTGACAAGTTGTTATCCTAGGAGGTGGGACTGGTTGTCCTATCATCAGATATTGCCTCAGCTAAAGGCAACACCTCGCAGATGTCTCCTCAATTTTACCATCTCCTTACATGGGTTCAAAAAAATCCCGTCCAGAGACACGACTACTTGCGTGCTTCTTGACTGGGGATGCCCGTGTGCAGGTCTGTCAAAATGGGTGGTCTACGCTCAGCTTGGGTGGGGTAGTTGCTCCAGGCGACTTGCTTCACCTTCGCTGGGGTGACAACAGTGTAAGTTCTCCCATCACCCGAAAGTGAATGGAGTGCCATCAGGGCGGTAGGGTGGGAGTCACCAAACAATGTTTTCACAAAACATTGTTCTTGGAATACTATCCTGGGGATGACAAGTTTAGCACAAACACTTGTCATACTGGGCCATGTCCTGCGGAAGGTAGCCCATATGAGGGTGACATGCTACCACGCAGCCATGGCCGGTGCATGGGTCTTTTAGGGCGAGGTCTGGATCGTGAGTAGCTCAAAGCATGCTGGCGTACGGCTCCAGCACCCACAACTGGCTTATCTCCAGCAAAACAGCAAGAAAGGAACGACCTTTCTACCTGTAAGATAATAGTACGAAAGATTGATTCCGATCCTGATTAGCTTGAAGCCCCTTTGATACCGCAGCAGTTGATACCACTGTTGAGGCCGGCAGAAGCAGTAGGATCGTAGTAATGTTCGACTGCCACCTGATTTTCTTTT